GGATTTAGGGTTTAAGGTTTAGGGGTCTGGGGTTTAGAGTTTAGGGTCTAGGGGTCTTGGGATTTAGGGTTTGGGATTTAGTGGTCTTGGGATTAGGGTCCAGGGTTTAGGGGTCTTGGGATTCAGGGTTTGGGGTTTAGGGGTCTAGGGTTTAGAGTTTAGAGTTTAGGGGTCTAGGGGTTTGGGGTTTAGGGTTCAGGGTTTAGCGCTTAGGGTTCAGGGTTTAGGGTTTAGGGGTCTAGGGGTTTAATTAGGGGATCAGGGTTTAGGGGTTTAGGGGTCTTGGGATTTAGGTTTGGGGTTTCTAGGGTTTAGGAGTCTAGGGGTTTAGGGTTCAGGGTTTAGGGTGTAGGGGTCTAGGGTTATTCCAGCTGGGTACTTCCCGCGAGTTTGTCAGTTGCAAACTCTTGTCGCTGACGACGTGGAGGCACTGCGCCACGCGACGGCATGCCTGACGCCTATCGCTGTGATCGGCGTCGGTGGGTTTTGCCCGACTCGAGCCTGGACCCGGATGTCACTTTCCATCAGTTGGAAGTGGGTGGGAAGCCGCGTCGTATTCGGCCCTCTTTCAGCTGGGGGCACGTTGCTCAGCGGGACCGTGTCAATCCCCGGCTTGAATACATGGCGCCCCCGGTCACACTGGTGTCAAGGACTACGGCATCTGAGCGTGAGTCAACCGGGATTGAAGTCGCCACTGAGCATTTCGGGGTGAACCGAATGAATCAGGCCGTCATCGTGGCTGATGAAGTGCATCGGTTGACGGACAACGGGATTGCCCTTCTAAGCAAGGCGCGCAAGTCTGGTGCTCCGATGCTTGCCATGACCGCAACCCCCCAGGACTGGATGCTCGGATTCCTGGCTCGTGAGGGAGAGCCTTCCTGCCGCGTGATAAAGGTTTATAGGGTTTAGGGGGGGTTAATGAAGCGTTTAGGGGTTTAGGGTTCAGGCTTTTAGGGTCTGGCCTGCAGTTGTCAGGGGCTTACATGATGGTATGAAGGTGTCAGAGGGCCTTTGAGGCTTACGGTTTAGTTCGAACTTTGGATTTCGGAGTTCCGGCGCGTTGGGAAGGAATGTTGTCTGGGTGTATCAGGTTTTGCTTGATTGTTTTAGGTTTAAGAGGACTTAGATCTGGGTGTAAACTGGTGTGTTTTGTTGGTTAACAGGGCTTGCTTTTGGGCTTTGGGGCATGCGGAAGCCGCCGGACAGAGAGGAATGATGTCCCGTACGACACGCAGTATCAGGGTCTGACAAATCTGAAACAATACTTGTTTGTGGTGTGGTCTCTACACCATAGGTTGCTAAAGGCATCTACACCTTCAGTCCTATACAATTCTACGCAACCCTTGGCCTATAAACTCCAATAAAACAAATAGTAGAAGCCTAAATAACTAACCTGCACTATTTGAGGGGGTTCCTTACGAAGCCTTATTATACCTACACTGGAGCCCCAGAACCCCAGTCTCATTTTTATAAGGTCCCCATCTTATTCGAGCCCTGCCCGGCTCCCAAGTTCTTCTGAGAGTTCCACAGAAACCATAAGGTTTTGGGCTTGCTATCGGGCCGTAGTTACAAGGGACTAAAGGAGGGACCCTTAAAGGGACCCTTGGGGTTACATAAGAGCTTTATGAGTTATGAGACTGTATAAGGGTTATATAGGGTATTTGGATTCGGGGTCCCTTCTAGGGGTCCCTCCTATTGTCTCCTAATTGTTATTAGACTAGGGTTTTAGCGGGTAGGGTCTAAGGCGAGAAGAATGGCTTGCCAAGGGTGGAGCTCGAAAGATGCTTCGCACGTTGGATGCTTCCACCCTAAAGCAACAACTTCTGGCCACATTGCCCCAAAGCCACAACTTCAACTCACATCCCTTGACCGTCAAAAACTCCACTCTCTGGAAAACCCACAATTTCAACTCACATCCCTTGACCGTCAAAAACTCCACTCTCTCGATCTTGTTGTGCAGGTGTGGCATTCCCCTAAACCCTAAACCCTAAACCCTAAACCCTAAACCCTTGTTGTGCAGGTGTGGCATTCTATCGCGGGGCAGACTGCTGCGTGCTGGTCCACGACCTGACGGCATGGGACCTGGCCGTTGCCACCGGCGGAACGGAGTGGAATGTAATCGTTTAGGGTTTAGGGTTTAGGGTTTTGGGTTTAGGGTTTAGGGTTTAGGGTTTTGGGTTTAGGGTTTAGGGTAATGTAATGT